GTGCCAGACTTATTTTGAAAACATTTTAAAACGCTCATTTCAAACCCGCATCTGAGACCACTTGAGACCGCGCGGGGGTGTTGGGGGGGACGGTGCGCAACGGCTTCTGAATAAATGAAAATGATTTAACACAGTTGTTTATACTTTTAGCAGCTCATTTCATTCCACAGCTGTTGCTGCTAAAAATGACAGATTTTCTTTTCTGGATCTCTGACAGACGGACTTCAAACTCTAAACTCTGAATGTATTTTTAAACCCTATTTGCCCAAAAGCAATGTGTGTTTTTCTTTTTAAGTAGTTCTACTGATCCTAAACAGCTACAGATATTTAAAAATGCTCAACAAGCAAAAGAGTGGGACTCAGGAGAAACTTGATGGAGTTGGTCCGAAAAAGGAGGCTGGCTCCATGAATGAAAAAGGTGTGGAACCGTGAACAGCCGAGCCGAACCGTGCTGTAGAGGCACTAGTGGAAAAGGGGCTRAAATCTGTCTGACCAAATGGGCTGGGGGGACAAGAGCTACCCCTAAAGACTGGTGACACACATGCATGGCTGAAAACTTCTAACTGTAGCTGTACACATTAAAGACCYTTTTGTTTTACAAAATCAGCGTTCTGTAAAATTCACCTCAAGTTGTTCCAGAATCTAACATGAAGGCTAAAGAACTGCACTGTCTGAAATACCCCCCCACCCCCCACCCACACACACACACACATATATACATATAAGCAGTTTTCACTGCGATGAAGGCCAGTCCTTTTCTGAATCACCAAACAGCTCTGATTTTCATTGTTAAATCTCTCACAGACCCTACATGAACTCATCTTCCCTCCAGGTATCCTCACTCAGATGACATTGCAGTGTATTAATATGGAAACAAATCTACAGTATCTCACTCATTTGTTACACCAACTCACAGAAGTTGAACGAAGGTAAAGATTTTTCAAACAACATCTGTTAGGGTTCTGTTTTCAGGTTTGATGACGTTGCAGTGTGTTTCTCTGGAACACAATGCTGCAGCAGAGACGGTGATGCCTTCAGGTGTCTTCAGCCACAGTTCCACTGAATCTGTCCACATTTCAGAACCAGACAACACAGAAACCACTGTTTGATAACTCCCAATTTAACTCGATGAAAACAAACTAACTTCTGATGAGAGGAAAATCCTAACAAAATTAAACCTTCACAAGTACTTCATCCTCTGATGCTGTTGTTGATGAGACATTTAGATTGTGTTCAAGTGAAACTTTTTTTAATTAGGATATATGTGCAGATTATTTTCCTCATTAGTTATTTATTCACTCAAAAATGTTTAATTACAACAAGTGAAAACAATACAATTCAGCAAAGAGAGCTATGTATAAACTGCCATAAATAAATATTATATATTATTGAATTATTATTTATTGTAGTTCAAGTTGTATTTAGCTGACAGGTCTTATTCAGTGACCCTGAAAAGATGAAGTGGATAAAAGTCTTATTTTTGATCCATCCTCTTCTTCTGCATCAATTTCTTGTGGTGTACCTCAAGGATCCTTTCTGGGGCTCATTCTGTTTGTTTTTATAAATGCTGACTTTTGGGTTCAATAACATTTCCTTTCAATGTTACGCTGATGACATCCATACATATTTTCCTGTAAAACTGGATGTCTCTGCATCTCTGCAGTCTATAACTGTCWACATGATATTTAACTCTGACATGTTTGACCCTGAATGAAAACAAATAGAAATGTCATGTTTTGGCTGCTCCATCTGTTCTCTGCTCTCCTGTCACTCATGCTCTGCTCACCTGAGTGTCACCTGGCACTTTCAACTCCTCACCACGCAGTTGGAGTGAAAAACGGACCATCTCTCTGAGTCCAGCGGGTGCCAAAACTTCTTTCCCCCTGAAGAACCCATGCAGATTGGCAGGTCCAAACTCTCCCTGGAGGAGCGCAATCGCCGCAGGTCAGACAACTTATGTTTTTACTGTGGGGCCAAGAATCACCGTATCAGGGACTGTCCATTAAAAGGTCAGGCTCAGCAGGGTCCAGGAGAGTCTTGTTGAGCCCAGTCAATAAAAAAGCTGATATCTCCTCCATGTTCTCATTGCCTGCTAATCTGTGTGTTAATGGTGTCATGAATCAGGTATAAGTCTTTATTGACTCTGGTGCAGACTCTGAATTTATTGATCACAACTTTGCTAAAACCTTAGGGGTTAAATTTGTGTCCACCCAAAATGAGCAGAAGGTCACAGCGCTAGATGGTCATGTTCTTAATACAGACAACCTAGAGACTGAATTTATTCAGCTCTCATTATGTGGTAATCATCAAGGAAAAACTAAAGTTCTTTGTCATCCAATCACCTAATCTACCAGTTATTCTGGGATCTACTTGGCTTAAGAAACATAATCCTCATGTTGACTGGGTCAAGAGAGAAATCTCAGGCTGGGCTAAACAATGTTCCTCCTCATGTCTACTAGACGCCCAAGGGTCTTCTTTTCCTCCAGAGGAGGTCAATAAAACATATCCATCCATCCATTTTCTTCCGCCCATCCYGGGTCAGGTCGCGGGGGCAGCAGCTTCAGAAGGGAGGCCCAGACCTCCCTCTCCCCAGCCACTTCTTCCAGCTCCTCCGGGGGAACTCCAAGGCGTTCCCAGGCCATCCGAGAGACATAGTCCRTCCAGCMTGTCCTGGGTCTTCCTCAGTGCCTCCTCCCGGTGGGACGTGCCCGGAATACCTCATCAGGGAGGCGTCCAGGAGGCATCCTTACCAGATGCCCGAGCCACCTCAACTGGCTCCTCTCGARGTGGAGGAGCAGCGGCTCTACTCTGAGTCCCTCCCGGATGACCGAGCTTCTCACCCTATCTCAGGGGTGTCAAACTCCTGTCCTCGAGGGCCGCTATCCTGCATGTTTTAGAGGTTTTCTTGCTCCAACACACCTGATTTTGATCGCTGGGTGATTAACAGGCTTCTGCCCAATTTGAAGAGTTAATTCAATCACTGAATCAGGTGTGTTGGAGCTGGAAAACCTCTAAAACATGCAGGATAGCGGCCCTCGAGGACTGGAGTTTGACACCCCTGCCCTATCTCTAAGGGAGAGCCCAGCCACCCTGCGGAGGAAGCTCATTTTGGCCGCTTGTATCCGGGACCTCGTTCTTTCGGTCATGACCCAAAGCTCATGACCATAGATGAGGGTAGGAAAGTAGATCGACCGGTAAATCGAGAACTTCGCTTTCTGACTCAGCTCTCTCTTCACCACGATGGACTGGTACAGCGCCCGCTTTACAGCAGACGCTGCGCCAATCCGCCTGTCGATCTCCCGCTCCCTTCTTCCCCCATTCGTGAACAAGATCCCCAGATACTTAAACTCCTCCACTTGAGACAGGGCGACCCCCCTGACCCAGAAAAGGCACTCTGCCCTTTTCCGGCTCAAGACCATGGCCTCGGATTTGGAGGCACTGAGCCTCATCCTGGCCGCTTTGCACTCGGCCGCGAACCACTCCAGCGAGAGCTGCAGATCTCGTTCCGATGAAGCCAACCGGACCACATCATCTGCAAAAAGCAGAGATGCGATCCTAAGGCCACCAAAACATATCCTAATTTAACTAAAGTACCAGTGGAATACCACAACTTAAAAGAGGTCTTTAACAAATCCAAAGCCACTTAACTACCCCACCCCCACAGGCCATACGACTGTCCTATTGATCTCATGCGTACAGTTCCCCCTAGGGGTAGTGTAATGATTGGGGGATTGAGTTTCACAGAGCCAAACACCGAAGCAGTTTTAACAATTTTATTTAAATGGTGAATGCTGGATCTGGAAGTACAGGACACGGGAATCAGGAGTTCTGAACACAGGAGAATAAGGTTAGTGGCTGGACTTGACAGTGGGACAAAACGTGAGAAAAGGAAAGCCACTAACCTTTTACTGAAGCGTGTGGGACGGACCGAACTCCTGAGTGACATGGAGAGCCTTGGATGATGGTTCGCTGCACTTCCGTGTTTGGCGACGCGACGCCGGGGATAATCCTTAGAACAAGCGGGGGTCATTAACAGAGAGCATGAAGACAAAAACAGGTTAGAGGGGCAAGGACTGAGGCATGGTCGGGTTTCACGGGCGTGGGTCGGATCCAGGAGGTCAGAGGCAGCGACGCTGTCAGACAAGAGTGAGGCGAAAGGCGAAGATCCAGAAGTCAGAGCGTGGGTCAGAACCAGGAAGTCAGAATCCAGAAAGGTACCAGTCAGGGGCGAGGCAGGAGGCTTGAGTCCGAAGAACAGAAGGAGGGTCGTAACGAGGCAGACAAGATGTGACATGGAATTGCTGGATAACTACTTGGTGTGAACCGTTCATAAATCTGGCACTGGTGCTGTGGAGGAGTGGAGCTTAAATACTGGTGACTGCAGGTGAGTGGAATGAGCTTGATTGTGATTTCTGTGACGGGAGGGGTGAAGCAATGAGTGAAAACTTGGCTGTGAGAAACTATGACATGATGTGAGAGCAGGACAGACGTGATTCATGACAGGTAGGCTGTTTTCATCATCGGTACCTGAAACTCAGYCCATGAATAATTACATCAAAGAAAGTTTACAAGCGGGGATAATACGACCTTCTGCATCTACAGCTGGTGCCGGGTTCTTCTTTGTAGAAAAGAAAGATGGTTCCTTTAGGCCCTGCATTGACTATCTGGGTCTCAACAATATAACCATAAAAAACAAGTACCCCTTACCTCTTATGTCTTCTGCTTTTGATCCCATTCAGGGGGCCAAAATTTTCACCAAATTAGATCCCCACAATGCTTACCACCTCGTTCGTATCAGAAAAGGAGACGAATGGAAAACAGCCTTTAACACCCCTACAGGTCATTATGAATATCTGGTCATGCACTTTGGGCTCACTAACGCCCCTGCTGTGTTCCAATCCCTGGTTAATGACCTACTACAGGATATGATTAATCAGTTTGTGTTTGTATATTTGGACGACATTTTGATTTTTTTTCTAACGACCTCGAGAGCCACAGTAAACATGTCAGAGCGGTACTACTAAGACTCCTCCAGAACAATTTGTTTGTAAAAGCAGAAAAATGTGAATTTCACCAAACCTCCACATCTTTCCTAGGATTTTTAATCTCACCTAATCAGACATCCATGGATGAAAGAAAGATTGCAGCTGTCAAGGACTGGCCCGCTCCTAAAGACCGGAAGCAACTCCAAAGGTTTCTGGGGTTTGCAAACTTTTACCTCAGGTTCATTAAAAACTTCAGCCAAATCGCTGCTCCCCTCAACTCACTCACCTCTGTTAAGACAAGATTCAAGTGGAACGAACAAGCTGAGGCAGCCTTCAAAAAACTTAAGGCATTGTTTGTCCAGGCCCCCATCCTTCATGCTCCTGACTGCAGTCAGCAGTTTATTGTGGAAGTGGATGTCTCTAACACCGGTGTGGGTGCCATCTTCAATCAGGTGGGMGAAGACGAAAAACTTCATCCTTGTGCTTTCTTTTCCAGAAGCCTCTCGAGTGCAGAGGAATTACAATGTTGGAGAATGTGAGCTGTTGGCAGTAAAAATGACCCTCGAAGAGTGGAGACACTGGCTCGAAGGAGCCAGGGAACCCTTTGTAGTCTGGACTGATCACAAAAATTTGGAATATCTAAAAACTGCTAAAAGACTGAACTCCCGTCAAGCCAGGCGGGCCCTATTCTTCTCTCATTTTTGTTTCTCCCTTACCTACAGACCTGGAGAAAGAAATGTCAAGCCTGACGCCCTATCGCAGATTCACGATGAGCAGTCCTGTGGTCCTGAGATTGAAGAATTCATCTTCCCCCCGTCGGTCAGACTATCTGTGACCCAACTGGAGCAAGAAGTGAAAGAGGCCCATGGCACCCACCGACTCCCTCCCACATGTCCTCCCGATCGGCTGCTTGTTCCTCAGTACCTCAGGTCCAATGTACTCACATTTTGCCATGACTCCAAGGTTTTCTGCCAACCTGGCATAACAAGAACCCTGTCGGTGGTCAGGTCTCAGTTTTGGTTGGAAGATCTGGTTAAAGATGTCAGGGAATTTGTGTCTGCTTGTCCTCAGTGTTCCCAGTCCAAATCTAGCCATCACTGTCCTGCTGAATTACTATGCCCCCTATCCATTCCCCGCTGGCCCTGGTCTCACATTTCCATGGACTTCATCATTGGTCTGCCTCCTTCCTCTGGCAACTCTGTTATTCTCACCATTGTTGACAGGTTTTCCAAAATGGTTCATCTAGTTCCCCTGAAGAAACTGCCCACTGCCAAGGAACTCGGAGAGATTCTGGTCAAAGAAGTTTTCAGACTGCACGGCATCCCGAAGGATGTCGTCTCTGATCGGGGTCCTCAGTTCATCTCTCGTTTTTGGCGAGAGTTTTGTGACCTCATGGGAATCACGGTCAATCTGTCATCTGGATTCCATCCCCAAACCGATGGGCAGACGGAGAGGGCTAATCAGGAGGTGGAGACTAAGCTCTGGCTGTTGTGTAGTGAGGACCCATCCAAATGGTCCAACAATCTGCCTTGGGTAGAATGTGCCATTAACTCCCAGCCCTCATCAGCCACCGGTCTCTCACCCTTTTACAGTATACTGTTTATGGCTTTCAACCTCCTATGTTTTCTGTCCAGGAATGAACAGCCAACATCCCCTCTGCCTATGCCGCTGCCCATCGGTGCTAGAGAACATGGACCAGAGCCAGAAGGGCTCTCGCTAGGACATCTGCCACCTAATCTCAGCCTGACTACCAGGTAGGCCAAAAGGTGTGGTTCTCCACCAAAGATCTTCTCCTCAGGGTGGAGAACCGTAAACTGGCACCCAGGTTCATCGGTCCATTCCCCATATCCAATATCATCAACCCCATTGCAGTCTGCCTCCTGTTACCTAAAAACACTAAAAACAACAGAATCCACCCAACTTTCCATGTTTCTAGAGTCAAAGCTCATCTCTCAGCCCGATTGCTCCCCACCTCCAGACCCCCACCACC